GTGCATCAGTGAGCCTTGGCCGTCTCCAGTGCTCCGCTTCTCCTTCCTTGGAGCCCTTTTGATGGTACTGACCACTGCAGACTGGGAACACTGCACAAGAGCTGCAGGTTTGTAGATGCTCTGACCCACTCAGATGTATACATGTATGTTCTCATTCCCAGGTCATCAAAAACTGACGCAAGCTGTGTTCAGTTAGTTGCAATCTGAAACTGCTAGATGCCACTAAACCCTACACATTGGTCCTTTAAAGTCCTCATTTAAACCTTGAGTATGTTGCTGGTCACACAGTTAACACGAATAAAGGGAGCTGTGAATCCAGTGTGCGGTTCCTCATTGCATTGCAATTTTATATGCAAATCTGTTGGTTCTGGTTAATGTTGTTTTGTTTGTCTCTACTGGTATTTGTCACACCCTACATATTGTATGCTGTTATCCATACTATATATGCACACTGTATACTCTAAGCAATAACCTATAATGTTATAATGTTAGTGTTGGTTATGTTTAATATATGTCAATATTCCTGGTCTTACCTGGACGAGGAGGCCAGGGCAGCCCTATAATCTGTCCGTTCCTCCTCAGCCTCTCCGATGACAAAGGTGGCAGGGCTCCTTGAAGGTTTCCATGCCGGAGCCTTACCGTGCTCCCTAAAGACCCGGATGTGTCCACAGACCGTGTGCAGGAAAGAAGTGACGTCGATCTCCTGCAGGGATTCTTCGCAGTAATCCATGGCCATCAGGACATCCTGGGAGTTGATGCTGTAGGACTGCTGCAGGCTGCGGTACACACCTGAGGAACGCAGTGAGCGAATAAATGACTGATGCTGTAATAGACAGTAACACAGCCACTGGCTTTTAAAAGAACAGACACTCTTTAAAATCGTTCTTTATGCTTTGTTTTTAATGTTGTTACTTTTTGCATTTTATCATATTGTTTTGTATGAAATATGCAGTATAAATAAAGTTTCATTATGAGTGACTCAGGGAACTGATGCATTAATTTGCATTCTGATAAAAATGTGGCAACATGCTTCTAAATGTGCAAAACATGCAACCATAAACAAACAAATCAAAGCATGCGCAACTTGTGTGCTCTCACACGGTGTTCATTAATAATATATTATTAAGATATATCAATGGTTTGGGATTTGGGATCCAAAAGGTTGGTCTCATATTATGTAATATTTTTCTTAGATGCAGTAAAAGCTTGACCTCAGTCCCAGCATTTAAATGTTTCAATTTGTACATGTACCTCTCCCTGTACTTGCAACTTCCTCTCCTTCTAAAGCTGTAAAGAGGAGTGCAAATAGCATATCCTCAAAGAAATTATATTTCAGCATATCCTGCAGATATGCAGCCCATTTCCTATTGGAAATTCTTTATTAGGAATAACCCCTTGGAATGTACCGTCTTATTTTCAAGGGGGTCATCAATGACAAAAAGTACTATATACACAATTACAGTAAAGAAATTAACAAAGATAACAGTATACAATTAAATCAAATTTGATAAAAACAAACAAAATCAACAAAAAAGATAAAACCAAAGGGAAAAAAACTGTTAAATGTTAATTATCAAGATCACACTCCAAGTAGAGCATGGAAATGGATCATTCACTCATAGTTTAGAGTGGTGGTATTGTCAGTGAAAGCAGTAGGTAATTAGATTTCCAAACCATGATGAATTCTACAGGTGTTATTATATTATATTATATTAACTGTCATTAAGAACATGTACAATCGATCCTATAATAAGAATTTTTAAAGATGATGTGGAAAACATGAAGGCTTTCTTTGCTGTTGACTCAGAGACTGCAGGAACAGAAAACAAGAGCTGTGTATAATGTCTCCATTGATAATTTGAGGAGAACCCACCATAAAATCTTTTAATAAAAGTAACTTCCTATTTACAGGGTTTAATCAGGAGTCATGGTGTAAATACTAGACTGCGCAATTTGGCACTGTGCCAACAGATAATGCTGATAAACTGTTTAAAATTTTACTTATTAATGATTCCGTGGCAACCATAACTTGTTCTGAGTGCATGTTGGTGGGGGAGGGGCTCACCTTTGACGTAGCTCTGGTGGTAATGCTCTTGCAGCAGGCTGCAGTAGTTGGCCAGCTCCTTGTGTTTGTGAGGCTGAGCCAGGAGGTCGGTCCAAGGGGACGGGCTGCTGCGGTCCTGAGACAGTGACCTGTCAAGAGGACAACAGCGCAGCAAACACAGACAGGAAGCAAATGTGCTCAGTTAGAAAGACTAATGATGGGTCTGCTGAACCCACACGGACCAACTACAACTTCATTTAACATCTTCCATTACATTTATAAGTAAAATGTGTACAAATTTCACTGTCAGTTAAAAATACAGACAATTCCATTCCATATGATTTTGCACAAGCACAAAGATAGCTTTAGCCCAGACCTCCACTACAGTAAGCAAAGAAGCCAAGAAGCCTGTGAGGGACAGCTCAACCTCCACAGCATGCATTTTAAGAGTCATATCTAACATCATTTATTAGGGAAAAAGGGACGGAGAAACATGAATCAGGTGAAAAAATACCTTGATCACCAAACGTAGTGCATTTGCAGCTAAGAGTTTTTGTCTGTGTGACAGCAAGGTGTCAGAAGACAATCTGCTGTGACACAAACACACTCACCTGCAAAGCTGCAGTAAGCACAGTGGTCTGGTCTGAGCTTTTAGTACTACACACACACTTTACTTTTAAAACTAAATCGATTTCAGTTCACAATGTTCTGCATGAACAGCAACAGCAATATGTACAGAAGTATGGAGTGTGCCACCAGAAAAATTTGTATTAAAATTAATTCATTTGTTTTGCATTTAAGTGATGCATTGTAAAAAGCATGGTATAAAAAAAGATTTTGCGAAGATTTCAAATGTTACTTTCTTCCATTGCTAGACGACAGAATTTGTCTCCTGTTTTAACATTTACCTTTTCATCTCATGATTACTTTAATTTAGGAAAGGTTCTCTGTAACTTAAAGGTCCAGTGTTAGGATTAAGTGGGATTTAGCGGTGTAGTTGCAACTCCCTCGCGTCACCCTACCCTTCCAGGCACAAAGAAGAAACTACAGTGGCCTCGTCATGAGCAAAAAACGCGTACAGCCCTATCTAGAGCCAGCGTTTGGTTTGTCCGTTCTGGGCTACATTAGGAAAATGGTGGTTCAATATGGCACTCCATGAAAGGGAACTCCGCGTCTGTAGATATAAACAGCTCATTCTAAGGTAACAAAAACACGATTCCTATTTTTATGTGATTATACACTAATGAAAACATCTATGAATATTATATTCCATTTCTGACAATAGATCCTCCACAATGTTACACACTGGACCTTTAATATGATCAAATTTAAATATGCTTGTCTACAATCATTCTGGTGACACACTCCAGGCTCCACACACGTGGGTCATCATGTGTCAATGAAGAAAAATTTACATAAACATGCTGATTTGCACGTAAAGCACGAAAAGTTCTCACGATGAGAGAAGAAAGATTCCTCTGTGCCTCTGTATAAAAGAGATGTGATGGGATGGGGCTGCAGATGTAATACAATGCAATATGTGTCGAATTACATATCTACTAAATTATAATAACTTTTACAGGACTCTATGGTATCAATAATGTAGAATTACTATATGCTTATAGTACATTTTTAACCTCCTGGTTATTATGACATTACTTGATCCCTGTTCCTCACCAGTGTATGTGGTTCTCCAATAAACAGGAAGTCAGCTGTTTTTTTGCAACTGTTGTGTACGCACTTTGACCACAACATATTAAAACATAGCCACATCATTACCACAGTAATGGCACCAATATTCCTAGCTGAACTCACTGAAATGTCCATTAAAGCTATATTTAATTTTCTTAATGTCACTAGCAATATTTAATTTGCTTAATGTCACTGTTAAAATGCCTGAATCTTTTGTCTTCAGGCAAAAACAGCAAACTAAATAAGTAAGTCTGTAAAACATCATTATCAAACACTAAAAGCTCACAGATTGTTTGGCCATTCAGGGGAATGCCACAACAATATGAAAACAAAACATATTAATATAAAAAAAAAAATCTTGATTTCCAGACTAATTCCTGGTGACTAATAATTGCAGTTAAATTTTGACTGGAAACTGTGTAAACTCGTGACTCGCGTGGCAGCAATGCACCTACTGTGGCGACGCAAGCCTGAGGAGGAAGCACAGACAGGCCTGGGAAGGGAAGATGGCTTTGGAGCCTACAGCATTAGAAAAGCCACACTTTCCCACTCTACAGAAAAACAAGCGCTTCCTAACTTCTCAGAGGGCCGTCCAATGAAAGCTGAGCGGCACCTCAGCAGAGAGGGAAGGAGAGCAGAGACAACGGAATCGAGAAGCGCTACCTGAACTTCATCTGCTGATTCATCTCCCAGGATTCAGCATCTTGAGCTCTATTCTCACGCGTGAAGACAATCAAAGACACACATGTTAACAACTGGACTGCAACTTGCTTCTGAGAAAATTCATGGGTCAGTTGTGTCAAACAATGGAGGGGATATAATTCAACATATTTTTTACTGCTTGGCTTTTCTCTATGTAGCTTTGTTTATCATTTGTATCGGTTATTATAGCATTGTACTCAACAAAATAATTAAATCTGGGTACAATAAGTAGTTACACATCAGACAGGCTGTAAACAAACCAATAGTATATCCAGATTAGCAATTCCGTGGCTTGGATGGGCTCAATCAATCAGAAACGAAGATTTTTTGCACTTTGTTTGCCTAACAGAAGGACTGGCTGGGACTACAGTTCAGTGTTAGACAGACTGAGCTTTCCGTCATCCATTTTGAGATGAGGCAGGCTGAGACTGTCTGGCTGTCTGGCAGGAAGGACACATAGAGCTTGGCATCATCAACATAGCAATTGTAATAAAAGCCATGTGAGTGGATAATCGGAACAAGGGAGGTGGTATATATTGAAAAGAGAAGGGAACAAAGCACAGATCCATGCGGTACCCCGGTGGAAAGAAAGTGACACTTTGACTTCACTTTACAACTCCATTGTATTTAGTGGTATCACTGTGGTTCCAGATCTCAGAAATTACCTTGGTGAGTACAATATCATTATTAATAACAGGACTGATAATTAACTGGAATTATCTTAACAATTTATGTTAATGACCAAGTAAGTAAAAAGCATGTAAGAATGCCAAATTCTCACTGCAAAGATCTATTCTGTTCACTTTCTCACTTGTAATTTAGAAATGAACTGATAGTACATATATAAACAAGCCACTGGACCCTGAAGTGTTCCAGTGGAGGTGATCATAGATCATATATGGTTCGCCCGCTGTTTGAAAGACGTGATGTCTGATAGGTGAAAAACTTCAGAGCATTGATCTAAAAACTATTATTCTGATTACCACTGTAATTCCTATAAAACTTTTTCACATGGTAAGCGGTTTTCTTTCTTTCAATATTGGGACCCTGCCTTTGTCTTCACTCCTGCAGGTGAGCACAGTACCTGAAGAAGATGTCCCTGGGTTGACGGCTGGAGTTGGGGTGTACCAGTTGCTCCCTCAGGTGCTCCAGGGAGCAGTTGTAGACATAGACTGGACACTTCAACAGGCTGCTGTCACTGGTACTCTGCTGAGAAACCTGCCGGCTGAAGCTGATGTGGAAATCTGCCTTCTGTGGTTCAGAGAACTGTACTCCTTCTTTTTCTCCCAGATCTGGAAAGTTAGACAAATTTTCCCCCATTTTTGACTGGACTACACTAATTTGGTTTTGACTGCAACTCTGGACAAGAGCGTTAGACTGACCTGAGGCTGGGGTCCCGGCCTCTCTCTCAGACATTCTAGTGTCCCAGCTTTCCTGGTCCATCAGGGAGTCAGTGGGCCCAGTCTGGCCCTCGGACCATGGTGAGAGCACAGGGGACCTGGCATTGAGCTGTCCGCTGCTGGAGCTCCTTCGCAGTTTACCGGCCAGACCGAGGCCGGACTCTGACCTTTCCAGCCCACTGGTGGAGCCAGACAGGGAGTCGGCCTGAGATTTGTTGCTGGGAGTCAGAGTGTCATCTTCCTGTGTGCTGACGTTACTCTGAGGCTCAGTCTCCAGCCCTGACGCCATCAACATCAGAACATCTGCAAAATAAACATAGTATGCACATTTTGCATCACGAGAATGTGGTCAAAATTCTAAATCCAAGGTGTACCTGTGAAGGAAGCAGGGAGGAAGGTGAGGAGGATCTGCTGGGAGCTGATGTACTTGGCGTAACACCTCCACTGTGGCGTAGAGCATCTCCTCTCCCCCAGCAAGGGCTCTTCATCCACAAGGTCTGCATTACTGAAACTCTGCCAAAGATGGAGGAAACACATGTTAATTATTGTACATTTACATGAAGCTACTGCCACAGCACCCACTGCAGATTTCCATTGGAAAAGACAGACTTTTTAAGAAAACTCTTAAATTGTGGTCTGACCCTTTATTTACATATATAGAGTATTAGAAACCTAGGCAGAGAGCACAAGGTTACAAGGCATTTAACCGTCTTCTTACCCATACTGGAAACCTACTTTGACCTCAAATGTTTACAGTAACTCCAGATCTTTAGACAGGATATACTGTAAACAGGCAAATATAAGTGTTCTCTCTCAGACTACTCTGAAGGAGTTATATTAATATGACTAATATGAATATAGTTCCACTTTTAGTCTGTTAATTCCTGCTGTATGACTATAATAAGAAGAACATAAGGATAAGCAGTAGGTGGTTCCAGTCCTCCAGTTGGAAAACCAGAAAAAAAGGACACAACAATATGATGGAATTACAAGAGTGCCAGTGGAAGCTCAAATGTATCATGTATTATGTAAGGAAGGTTCCATCAGATCTGTGTGCAGCAATCATGGATGTATTATAGAGCCATGGGAGTGAAGAGTAGACTGCTCTTCAGTCATGTGAGTCATGTGATCTTATTAAAAAAAAAAGTGTTTCCATCTCTGTACTTATATAACGCCTTTACACTGATGGCAGTGGCTGCCATGCAAGGTGCCAGCTGTTCACCAGAACGGAAACTAATCATTCACACACTTATACACCGATGCACAGCATCAGGGGCAATTTGGGGTTCAGTGTCTTGCTCATGCAGCGTGAGGAGCCGGGGATCGAACTGCCAACCTTCCTACAGGCGACTTGCTCTACTTTTGAGCCCCTGTTTTTTTATCAACTGCTTTTCTAAAAAGAAAAAAAAAACACCTCAAACAAGAGTAGAAACCTTTATTAGTCCAAAACTATTAAGGCTCAACACTTGAATGAGAATGTATGTTGATTACCTGTAAAGTGCTGGTGGATCCCATCACCTCCTTGCTGCTGCCAGTGGTGTGGAATGACGTCATTGTGTCCTGTCTGTCTGGTGGTTTCACACACTCCTCTGACAAAACATAAAACATCAGATGTGATAGATTAGAAGAGACAGTGACTCATCAGGTAGGCTCTGTAGTTCTGTTAATGTGGAAGTAAGTGGCACAGATTGGCTAGAGGAACAGCCGAGATGAGACGCAGACACGTGTGCTGACCTTTAATGACAGGTAAAGAGAAAGGAGCGGTATGTCCGTCTCGCTCTCGCTCTAAGATGTGGTGCATGAAGGTGACATGGTCACTGTCAGCTAGCGGGATTTCTCTGTCGCTGAGCTCGTGCTCCAGGCTGCTGTGGAAGAGGCTGAGCAGCAGCTCGTTGGGCAGACAGGGGGAGCTATGAACCTGCTCCCCAGTCTCCACTGCTACTGACAGAAAGGTGAAGACACGCATGACAACAAGGAACAACTACTGGATCTTAAAAAGCAAAGGGTCCCTGCTATTCCCTGACTCTCAGAGTTTTCTTTTTTTCTTTGTATATTGCTACAGAAGTATTTATTTCATGATGGATGTGTATTTTTCTTATTGTTGCAGTAAATGGTGCGAACCGTATGAGTACACTACCTGTGCTGAATGTGAGGAAGAAGAGCTCGACCTGCTGGCATTTGGGGAGCAGCTGAAGGAGATCAAACTGGAAAGGAACCATGTGAATGCTGTCCTCAGAGGCAAGGGCATCTCCTGCACACACACATACAGGAAATACATCCATGATTTACTTACCAAAGAGCAATACACAGATTTTACACTACACAAAATGCACAATCAGAGCCAGCAGCTGCAGGGGACAGCCATTACTAAAACACACAACTCTTAATTTGTTTCCAATGGCTTCTGTTATAAACGTAAAAAAGTATGGAAAAAAATCATATTGTGATATTTTGTTTTGTGACATTGTGATATGTATTGAATCTCAAAAACACAGTGTTGCAGTGTTGTAAATGTAAACTGAGTTCAATGATGTTATATGTTACAGGGATATACAAAAGCAGATCCCACTATTTTGTAGTAAAAATACAGATTTTATGCATATGGTGGTGTGTTCTTTATACTTTAGACACTTTTCATAAAATCTAATCTAAAAAAACGCAACCTATCGCCTTGTGTAACCCCTGTATCATCAGATTCTTGCCAATACACAGCCCTATTTATTATTTTACATTTTACTGCACTCTGGTTATTTGGCTCCTATAGTTACATAAAATATGATGTTTTCCTATAGATTATGCTGCCCAGCAGTGATACAGTAGTGGGAGCAAAATGCCAGTAGATTGGCTACAGAGTACTACTGGCCACCATTTGAGAATATGGGTAAGAAAATATAAAAAAATATCTGTTTTTGTTTTGTGATATTGTATCGGTTCTCAGATGCACTATCGATGTTTGTGTTTAAACTCACAACTGCTAGGTAGAAACAACTGAGGGTTATGATGTTGGATGTGACTGTGATAAAACCAATTTAATTTAGTATTGCAATATACTGAATTGCAACCCGTGTATCGTGATACGAATGCAGAAAATTTGATTTTTCTAAACAGCACGTTACCTCTCACATCCTTGAGTCCAGCCGGCAGCGAGCAGACCTGGTCTTTATTCTGACACAGTTGACACAAATACTCAAAGGTCATCATGGTGGACATACAGGCCAGATCCCTTGGGAAGATCTAAAACAACAGAGAAGGTCAATATAAAACACAACCTTAAATACAAACCACACAAAACTGAACTCAACTGAGCTCTATGCACGCACCCCCAGAACCCCTCAGCTCTATGTCAGAATGAATGAGTGGGTGGACGAACTATTGGCTCTATAAACGAGGGATACGTACTGCTTGGGGGATCTCCTGGTACTTGAGGCCCTGGAAGTGGCGATGTTGGTCCATGCAGTTCATCACCGTGCCACACTGTGGTTCCACCCAGCACTCTGTGACAAGGTTCAGCTCTGTGTCCATGTCTACGGCCTCCACCTCAGTGTCGTTGTCGTCATCAGTGGAGAAGCTGTCCCATGAAAGACAGGAGACAACCATGTACCATTTCAGCACAACCAAAAGGATTTTTTAAAAGTCTATTGGGGGATTTGTTCCGCTCCTCACAGGACATACAGACTTGGTGCCAACATTCATGAAGGAGGGTCAGTGTGATTGCCAGAAGCCACTGTGTGTACAGCAGGGATGGACAGACTGCAGGTTTCATTCCAGCAGATCACTGCTGATTAGTGTGTGGTGGCTGAAATCGAAACCTGCAGACTGTTAGGCCTCCTGGTGTGGAAGTTGAATGTCTCTTTCTTTGGCACCATCGTATGGTAGTATCAAAAACAACACTACACGCTAGCAGACAGCAATGCACATCAGTGCTGGCTCCAGACCACCAAATTACCGTCCACATCTCCGATCCGTTCAGCAATACAAACAGATCTGATGTTGTCCTCTAGAACTGCAACGATTAGTTGATTAATTAGTTGTCAACTATTAAATTGATCTGAAACTATTTTGATTAATTGTTTTGAGTCATTTTTAAAGAAAAACTGTCCAAATTCTTTGATTTCAGCTTCTCAAATGTCACTATTTCTGGTGTCTTTAATCCTCTATGAGAACATGTTTGGCTTGTGGACAAAACAAGACACTTGAGGACATCAGCTTGGGCTTTGGGAAACTGATCAACATTATTTACCATTTTCTGACATTTTATGGACCAAACATGTAATCAGTTAATCGTGAAAATGATCCTCAGATTCATGTATAATGAAAATAATCATTAGTTGCAGCTGTGGGCATCTGTTGCTGCTGGTTGGAGAAACAGTTGACCAGTTTCCCATATTGTTTGCTACTTTGCTGCGTCTTCCATGTCAACTGGCAGGATTGATCATTTGCTACTGATTGGTTAGGGCGACGGTCAGGTGTTACTTCATGAATGAAGTGAAACCGAACAGCCATTCTTATTACTGGGCTTAGCAATGAACACTGATACACCGCCTCATCCTCCTGGGCTGAAAATAAACATTTTACACCAGGATCGTCAAATTTTCACAGTACCACATTACAAAACAAGTGGTCGTTTGTTTAGGTAAGGTGAGATGCAACAGATCAGTGGGTTTGAAGGCTTATAAGAACACTGCAGCGGTCTGAAATACTTTAAGGAAGGATTTTGCAACTTTAGAATATTATCAAGGCAGTAAGTTCAACTTTGCCTAATGAGTGTGTTTTTTGCCGAAGCCCTCGGCGTCAGCACCCCACTCAAATGAATGAGGGGCAGTTCAGTCTGACTACAGTCACTATAAGGTGCTGTATAAAGATGATTACTGCCCGTCTTACCTGTCCTTAGTAGACGTAGAGTGAGGTGGAAATAGGATGTACTGAACAATACAAGAGTGACTCTCTCTGTCCGTGTCCCCTGACATGCCCTGAGGAGAGAAATCACATTCAGTGCAAACTAATTCAGACTACCTGTAACACCTGTAATGCACATTTTTAAGAACCTAAATGACACCATACACAACCTGTTCAAGAGGCTATTACATACATAAACCTTTGTTTCACCCTGTCTCTAACTACACACTCTGTAAGTTTAAGTAAACAGCAGGACATGATAAGACCCATCTGTTTGTTGCTCCAGAGCTGAGGACAACATGTAACTGCATTAGAGTGACTCTCAAACTGGGATAAAGGGACACTGCCTCTCTGACTTTTAACTCATTTGAGCTTTCACGTACTGGTATGTGTGAGTGTTGCTGTGAGTCCATCTATAGATGCTGAATAAACCTTACAGAAAGACAAACTCATACATTAAAAAAAACTGCCTTCACACACACGTTCATAACATGACAGTACTGAAGATGAAAACGGGTCAAATGGTGCAAATGGAAACACCTCAGCGTTTAGTGTTCTAAATGATCTGCTGTGCTGTACCTTCATCGGCAGCTCCATCACCAGGTTGACGATGCCCTCTCCGCTGGCAGCAAAGTGGAAGCCTTCTGATACGCGGATCCTGCACAGACATCAACAGAGGGGTATTTTCAGAGGAACAAATTCCACATCAAACCAACCCAGCTGCTATGACTTCAAGCATCTGTAAAACAAACTGCTACAAGTATGCACTAATGAAATAATAAACCTCAGGTCACATTTTCAAATAAACACGTGGTTTTCTGAAATGGCGTTGCTAAGAATGTACTGTTATCTAAAGTTATCTGTGGGATACACTAACAACCTGTGTTGACAGATTATGTTAAATGTAATGGATTGCTTTGGGACACTGGTTTATTAAAACAAACTCCATCTCTCTCCAGTTTATCATCCACTCGAGTAGTGGACACAACAGCCCTGTTATTTTATCTGTTAATTGTATTCTCAATTAAAAGCTGGTGTTCAAATAATGAGCAGGTCTTCATCAATAATGACAAGGAAAAGTAAATTGAGTATCATGCATTTCCACACTCACCACTCTGTTGGTCTTAGTTTTACTGATTCCAGTCACTTCTGTCTCACTTAGTTTTTTGAGCAATGTTAAGTTACATGTTTCAAAAGGGGAGGGGGGTCACTGCTTGAGGCTTTTATTGTGACACGCCAGCAGGAATTGTAGATTGACAGTAGTTTAACAGCATTTGAAAAAATGGCAAAATAGCTATCAGTTTCTTTATATTAACTAAGTTGTAAGATCCAAACTCCATTCAGAAAAAAAGCATTTTTAACATTGTTTGCTTGTCATCTTGTCAACAGACCCGACAAATATGGCCTCATGGTGTAGTTATTTCAGCATCCTTTTGAAGACTATTTAGGGTGGCTGGGTCGTCCACTAATCAAAAGGTTGTTTGTTCGATCCCTGGCATGTGGCATGTAGTGTTAAAGCGCTTTGAGTGGTCGAAGACTAGAAAGGCACTATACAAGTACAGGTCCATTTATCACAATTAATTCACAGCGAAATCTGTTTATTTTGGGCTCATACTGCCGCAGGAAATCAGATAGAAGTGCAAATTTTTATCAAATACAAACGCTCCTGCAGGCAAACTTGGAAAGTCACTTCACGTTTGATGGGAACACATCATTAGAGTGCGAGCAACAGATTGGTGAGGATGACCAGGCTTTTGTACTGATGGATGTGGACATAATACTGAATTTATCAAAACAACAGGTAATCATGGTGATTTTGCAGCAAATTGTACACAAACTTACTGCACACCATTGGACAATTTATAGCTATTATAAATCATTCTATATGAAAAAATAACAATGAACGAGAACATTGCCATACCTATAATTTTGTACAGTTTACACGTTTTTGGGGTTTATTTGGTGAATTTATTAATTTAATCATTTATTTAATATTAACAAAATGCAACCAAAAGTAAAATGTTTACTGATATTGATAAGCAAATGTGTTTTATTCTTAATAAACTTAAACACTTTTTTAGGTGCACAAAAACAAACATGCCAGAAGGATACAAGGTTAATTGTTGCTTTACAATGCAGGGTTGTGTAATGAACTACAGGTCGTAGTTCCCCTCATAAAAAACCAAAAAAAAAAATCTGTTCACAAAAATGATATACAGTAAAACTGATTAAAAGTCATAAAAAATAAAAAGATAACAAAAATAATAACACAAAAGTGTGTGAACTCACTCGGAGAGCATGGACAGGATGTGTGCCACGGCCTGCATGGCCACGGTGGACCCCTGGCTGCACTGCACAGCCCACACCCAGCGCTGGTGCAGGAAGTAACGGGACAGGGAGGCCAGGGTGGAGGAGGCTGTCCTGTTGGCCGCCATGCTGAGGGGGACGGCGCTGTTGGAGGGCTGAGGGAAGTTCTCCATGTTGAAAATGAAGGGAGTCCTGAAGTCCAGCGGCAGCTTCTCATACCTGCAGAGCATTGCGTTCAAATGTGTCCGGCTGGCAATACTTTCAATTTGGGGATTGGAAGAATGCGAGCAAATACAATAAGCCTTATGTCTTATGAAGAAGACATTACAAACAACTGCAATTTCAAACCAGTGTAATGAGTTTTTTGTGAACATAGAGTGCAGTTATGGCAAGCTGCAGTCACGGGCACTGACCTTATGAGCAGCTTCTCCAAGGGCTTATTAAGCACCACCACACAGGGTCTGTCTGACAGCGCTGGCTTGGGAGCGGGGATGGAGGGGGATTTGGAGGGTGACGGATGGCCAACAACCTTCCTCTTGGTTTTGGGGGTGGCCTCTTTGTTCTGAACACGATGAGGGAAGCGTAGTTTGAGGATCTGCTCTCGCAGCTCGTCCACAATCTGATGAAAGACACAGACGTCCCAACGGGTTACCACGGAAGCATTCAGTTTGTGGACACTTGATGTTTTAGTGAGTCTGTAGTATGTGGCCAGTGTCTGGCTGTGCTGACCACTGTCACCATACTTTGATGATGATTACAAATGAAGTAAAAGGCTGCCTAATTAATGTACCTGACCTGTTGGATGAAAAACTGGAAGTCAAATGTTGATGGCAGACATTATAGTTCCTGTTGCCACAAATATCAAGCTAGTTCAGACAAATTTCATGCAAATCTTGAAATGTCAGTCTGCAGGGCTTTAAAAGGATGATTCATTGTCATTCTTTTTCAGTCAGCTGAAGCTTTCTTGGAATTTAGGGGGTTTGTTTGTTTGAGTTGTTTTTGGTTCATTAGTAATACGCATATTTAAGTTGGTGTCATCATAATCATCATCATTGTTATATATTGATTATTTATTTTATTATTATATGTTTTTTTTAAATGTAATAAAATATTATATAGCAAATTAACTTGAATAAATACAATTAGCACACAATTTTTCTGATTTATAAAATAAAATGTTAAAAGAAATCTGACTGAAAGTGTACCTGACAGAAAAAGTTTAACAAAATAAAGGTCCTGCATTGTACTGAAGTGTCAAATTGAAGTTGTGATACCCATTAGAAGATATACTGTAAGTGTGGTTTTAAGTACCAAAAATCATCTCAATATAGTTTTGCGTCTCTGGCAAGAACAGGGCCTTTTGTGTTGTATTTTGTCTCATTGAGTGAGGCACACTAAATGCACACAAAATGGTAACAGCATGCAATACCTCAGAGGGTGGAACCTACACCTCCTCTGACACAACAACAAAGACAGAATCTGCTGCTGAGACATCGGTTTGGATTGCACAGGTGTCCCTGATTCTATATTTATTATTGGTTTGACTGTCAGTACCTTGTTTCTGATGTGGGCTGGTGTTCCGATGGGGAAGCCCAGACGCAGCACCATGCAGGGCGTCTTGGAGATGAGGCGGACCAGGTAGAAGGAGGTGGGAGGCTGGTCGGATGAACTGTGGAGACAGAATTGATAGAAAATTTTAATTTGAATTAATTTTTAAAACAGAGGCTGGTGTCACATGGATTTCTTATTTTAAAGAGTAAAACATGCTGTGACCTTAGGCTGTGTTACCCAACCGTGACAATCTTGCCCTCACTGTGGACATGAGTTGTTTTCCTCCTTGGATTATCGGATATAAAAGGATTTTTAAAAAGTATTTTTTACAAAAAAGGGAAACTTTACAGACACTACAACCAGACCAATATGGAAGATGTGTTTTATTGGTGAAAAACATTCACCAATTAACGATATGGCAGCCGATATGGTCAACCAACCAGCTGCGATGCTGAGAGCAGCTTCTTCTATATGACTTCGGGGTGTTTTCCACAGTAATAACATCAGCTTAATAACAGTCGGGTGTTAAGTCTGAAGAAATTTACCAGTTTAGTGTAGCAGAAATGCCCATTTTTCTTCTTCTTCTTCTTCTCCCTTCGGAGAACTGAGACCACAGATGTATAAGGGAACCTTTCCAGTTCATGGGGATTTACTTTGAGCATGGAAATGATCAACTGGGGATGCTAATAATGCATAAATATCAGCTCCCATCCAAAAACACTGATATTACCATCAGCATTAATAATAATGAATAATCTTAGTTTCAGTATATAAAACAACAAACCAGCTCTTTACCCCAGATGTACTTCCATCTGCAAATAAACAACAGCCATCAGTGCTGTTTTATCTGCAGCCGTTGTCTCACCTGTATATGAGTTTGACATACGAGTAACCCTCCACCAGCACAAAGCTGCTCCAGTCCCTCAGCAGCGATGTGAGGGCAGAGTGGGAGATACGACACTGAATGGTGCTGTAACGTCCATTGTTTCCAGCTGTGTGCAGGTGTTTGGGGACAGGCCTGGAGGGACAAAATGATTAATGCAATGAAGGACTGACAGACCAGAATAAACACCAAGTGTCCACACAACCACTCTTCTTTTCTTTTATCTTTCTATCTAGTGTAGTGAAGCTGCTACCCATGATCCAGGCTGGGCAAACAGTCTTTAAATAGTTTTTAATGTTTATTCACAGCTATATATTTTCTCACATGTCGTGTTCGAGGATGATAGCAATGCGATGCATGTGCAGCCATCTCTGCCAGAAGTTAGCGTCCATGGAGAGGATGGGCTTCCAGTAAGAGGCAAACTGGGACTGAGAGGAGTCTTTGGATCCACTGTGCTGCAACGACAGAACCTGGAAAAAGAGGAGATCGTTTATCGACGGTGGTACACAAACAGAAAAAAGGCTTAACTGTGGAATACGAGGTGACCAGCACTGTTAACTAATTACTGTCTTTACAGATTTTCAGTGTTTGAAGGATAATGATGGTGTGATTATTTATAAATCCCATGAAAACACCAAGTTTTTAAACCTGGATTTAAAAATATTCAATGTTGGTGCAGGTCTAATATTTTCTGGATGAAAAACTAACTCCTATAGACTTAGTTAATGCTGAACTGAAATGGAGTTTTATTGCAGCAGAATATGTAAATGTTTTCTGCACAGTACCGGAGTAGTAGAGCCGGGAGGGATGTAGAACAGAGGAACTCCATTTTTTGTGCTCTCAGGAATCATGTAGTTCTCAGGAATTGAATTAAACGACTGGAGGTGCACCAACATCTGATCAGTCTGGTTGATGCTGGAAGGACACACAGTAAAAGCAGTTAGGTAACAACAGATGTAGCATTAAAAGAATACCAATCAATCTCTATCAAATGTATCATGATGTTGTTATGTTTTACATGTAGGTAGATGTTTGCTTTGAGCTGTACCTCTGCAGTGTGTTCCAAAAGCGTCGGATGACAGAGGTGCGATACGGGCTGGTGATGGGTTTCCTCTGGGTGCAGCTTATGTCATGCAGGATGTCGTAGCTTCCCTCCATCGTCACCTCCACCCTGGTGGTTCTCTTGGTGAGGTCCAATGGCCATGAGGCGGCTGCCAGGTACTCGATATGCATGTTGTGTTTCCATAAGAGCACAAGCTTCACCTCCAGCTGAGTCCCACCTTAAGAAACCAGTGAAGTGTCAGTCTCGACAAAGATAAAGGCCTAATGCTGTGCTATCTTGTTGAGCTGTTTGTCCAAGGACTTTTTAAATATCTGAGATCTTTGTAAAGACAGGCGTTTACCTTTGGTGAGGCTGATCTCTCTGATGGTGTAGCCCTCTCTCAGTCGCACAGACACTACGCTGATTAAATGAGCATGGACTTCCTTCTCTGTGTGCTTCTTCCTCCTCATGACCAGGGCAGGGTTACCACTGGCTGACACCAGGTGCTCATTGAAGAGTTTGTGCTGGGAAACTACAGAACAAAGTAGTTTGTATGGTCACCCATTTATTTGTCATCATCACCTTAAACATAATTATTATCATTAATGACAACTGTAAATATGTGTACGCAGGAAACAGGTACCAGTACGTTTACATGAATATATATTTAAAGTAGGGCTGCAGCTATCGAATATTTTGGTATCGAGTATTCTATCGAATATTCCCATCAATTAATCGGATAAAACATACTTTTGCTTAATTAAAGGCCAATTATAAATATACAATAGAAACAGATCACTTAATAATAACAACCAATTTGTTTCCTTTTTAAGAAAAATTGACATTTATTTATTATACATATTATGCAAAGTAGTAAACCGTTTCAGTCAAAATTTCCAATAAAAATAAATAAAATT